AGTAAAAGTAGAAAAGTGTCAGCATCAAAATATAGTTAAAGTAGCGACAGTAAAAGTAGTGATTGTGCAGATTGGAACCATTTAAACACTTGAGTAAAGTACAAGTACCTCTAAATTGTATATGTAGATGATAGTGTTCTCATATTTCAGCAGAAACCAGCTTTTCTTCCACAGGAGACAAACATCTGTAATCAAGGCCGAGTTAGGCGAGACGAGAAGATTGTAAAGTATTTATTTGTACAAAAAAATTCCCAAAATGCTAAGAAAATTGCAAGAGAAATACCTAGAAGAGTTGAAGCATTGAGAAACAGAAACAGTGCTGTTAGTCTGTGAATGGAAGCTCTCACACAACGAGCCCAACAGAAGCACGAAGTAAACAACATTTCAGGATGTTTACACAAACAAACAGCGATTTAAAAATGCTTTCAATAAAAAAAAGTGATCAGTAAAATCTTCAGTGTCTGCAGTAATAGAAACAGTAATAAATGCCACAGAAAAGGATGTTAAAAATTAGTTTCTCTAATAAAAATGAGACAAATTAAGAGCCTGGTGGCGGCAGAGAGGCTGCTGTTTAATCCAAGTTTTCCATCAAATAGCCAAAATAAAGGAAAACTTAAAATGGGAATTAATGGGAGGAAAAAGCTTCAGAAGCAGTGGAATAACTTTCTTAAAAGACACCCTTTATACACAGTTTTTAAATTATAAATATGAATGAATGCATGGATGTTTCTTCAGGTTTTTGCTGCATGAACGGCTGCAGAGATATTTAAAAAAACTAAAATGTTTGTGTCTTTTTGTTTCTGTTTAGGATTGGTCTTCTATGGTTTTAGATAAATTGGCTTTTACAGAAATGTCTTTTGACCAAAAATCCAGACCTGGTTACTCAAGTTAATCCAGTCTTCTGTCTATATTTATTTTAAAACCCCTTAATTATCTTAATTGATATTTTTCCAACTGCAAAAAACGACATTTCTCTCCTTTTCAAAGTTATATTAAACATTGTTATCGTAACGGTTTGTTTTTATATAATTTATTGTAATTTTTATGATATTTCTTGACTTTAATTTCTTTATTTGTCCTTTTTTAATATGATTATTGAATGCAAACACCACGGTAAATTCCTTGTTTGCAATAAATCTTAATCTGATAAACATTCACATTTACAGATAACTTGTTTACATGTGTTGTTAGCTCATTAATTCCTCATAAAGCAAATGATAATCATGTTTAGCTTCAGACTTACGTTTAAACGTTCATTAATTATTATTTAGTGCTTCCTTTATGCCCTTTCTGATGGAGTCAGATAAGAAAATTCTCCCTTTATTCCCTTTTTTATTATTATTTAATTGGCAGACATTAGTGGTTATGATGTTCTCATGTACTTAATAAAGAAATACAATTTAGAAACAGTTTTTAAAGGGTGACTTTTTAGGAAGTGGTACCAAGAACGGTTAAGAAAATGTGCCTTTTTGTGGCTCACTCTGATTTATAATTGAGGTGTTTTTGGCTTCTTCTTGGTATTTAAATGCAGAATTTGGATCTGCAGCTCGACTCACACCAAACAGACCAGAAGACGTAAGAGTGATAATAAAAAAACAGCCTAGAAATAACAACAAACGGGTATATTTCTCTCTAAAAAAAGATTTTCATTCAAAAGGTAAGCGATTTTTTATTATAAATATAACAATTTCGTCCAAACCTATTCAACTTTTTATTATAAAAAAATCATTCTTTGGGTTCCCAACAACCAGCTGAGACGAGGAGAAGACATCTGCATAGGTTTGCACAGCTGCTTTCACACACACACACCACACACACACACACACACACACACACACACACACACACACACACCCACACACACACACCACACACACACACACACACACACACACACACACACACACACACACACATATGTCGCCTAACACGGAAGCCCGGCAGCTAGAACTCAAAGTGCAGTGAAGAGTTGAGCGATGAGAATGGAGGTAGACCTTTTTCTGTCAGAGTCGAACCAAAACAGACGTGGAGCTGCAGAGGAAGTCCAGCTTTACATCAGGGACGTGCACAGAAGATCATTGCGTGCCTATTGATTTGAACACGATCCGTGTATCCATCATTTCCTGGTCTTCTCTAAAGAAGAGGGACCAATGAAAACGTTGTCATGTTGCCGTTGTTCAGCATGGAAACATTCATTAGCTAACAATGACATTATTGTTCTATTAATATAAAGGGAGGTCAGGTACTCTTTAAAACAGCTGCTAGTTATGGGTACTTTTTACTGAAGTACATTTCAAAGCCCTCTTTACTTTTACTTGAGAAAAGAAGTTTAGTCAGTACTTCTACTTTCACCAGAGTATTTCTAAACATGAGTATCTGTCCTTCTACTTGAGTAAAGGATGTGTGTACTTTTTACATCACTGGTTTTTCTTGATAAAGTGAATTCATTTGGTCTGATTTGAGCATTTATGTGGGGTACTCATTTATGCAAAGTTATCACCTGTATCTGATTGACCGCCAAATTGGTGAAGTATGTCAAGTTGCTTTTTCTGTAAATGCATTATGGGTAATTAAGATGATGACTCTGTATTTGTCAGAAGTCTGAGGAAGAGCCTGGTGATCAAAATGTTAAAGAGAAGCTTTAAAATCAAAACATTTTGAGCTTTCTTGACGTTGTAAAATTCAGTTTCTCTTAATACTCATGCGTGCAACATTGGCCAAAAATAAAACAGTTATTTATGTATTTCTTCAGAGGAGCCGCTCAGTTGGAGTGTCATTTAATTATTGATTTGTGCACGTCCCTTCTACTAATTATGGGATATTCAGCATGTCGCCTTCGATCAGATCTTCCTCCTTCTCACGCTGATGTAAACATTTTGAACATTTGGTCAACTAGGAAGATGATTGACATCGTGAGGACAACAGAGTCTTTTACTTTGAAAAATAAATATTTTAAACGTAGAGAGATGATGACACCTGAACACAGAACGATAGCTCTAACATCACTCCGAGGGTTATTCACATGTTGGAGACGAGCATGAGGTTCAGAAAGAAACAAAAAACGCTGCTTTTAAACTCAATTTTAAAGATCCTGTCGCTCGACTTAAGCTTCATTCTGCTTCACTTCAGTGTCAAATATACAACTGAAACATTTTGATTGGTGTTATTACCTTTGGGGACAAACAGGAGGACTTAGAGTCACATTGTCCGTCTGCAATTAGACGCTGAGAAAGGAGATTACAATGAGTTCATCAGAGGACAAGCAGTGGAGATAAAGACCGTTACACAGTGAGAACAAATGGTGAAAGTGCTCCGTAGAGCTGAGGTAAACTGGGGAATCATTACCTGTACATTTCCCGTATTATATTATATATTATAAAAATATTTAATATATCTATTCAGAGTCCCCAACCTTTTTAAAGTGCAATTTCTAGATGCATTTCAGAGGGTCTTTGTCTCTCTTTGATTGGACGTTAAGGGCATCTAAAGACTGTTTTCTATTTAAATCCATTTATTATTTTGGTCTAAACTTGTTAGATTCCTGAATTGCCCAACGAGGATACTGTATATATTGCATATCTTATTTTAAAATAATTTCTCAAACTCCAAGGTCTTTAAATATCTTGTTTTTTAGTGAAATATCTGAAGATAGTCCCTTTTTTATGATATAAAGCAGAGCAAAGCAGGTCATCTCTGTATTTGAGAGGCTGAAAACAGTCATTTTTGAACAGATGCCAATCGTCTCTCTCCTGACTGACGTCTTGTTGCAGTTAAACTCTCCTGCACCGCTATATATATATACATATATATATATTTGAGTCCCTCTAAGGTCCTGATACATCCTCATGTCGTTCACATCTCCTGAACACGTGAATAAACCTGAGAGACCCCCCCCCCCCCCCCCCCCCCCCCCCCCCCCCCCCCCGACAGAAACCCTGGTACTTCCTGTTCCCTCTGCAGAGTTGGCAGTAGAGATGTTCGAGGCACTAAGAGGAAACCTTCTTCTTCTGGAGGTAAATCTTTAAATCGTTCTAAAAGAGGGGCTGCAGCCAAACCTGTGGGGAAGTGCCGTCCTCACATTTCTATCTCAGTGCAGGAATGAGTCCTCAAACCCAGGAATGAGTCAGCATTGTATCACTCCCTGGTCCCTCCTCTGAGAGTCAATGGTATTCTGAATGTGATTTTGGTTGTTAGCCTGAAATAAGGACTTTGGTGGTTTGATTCCACGACATGAAACACATCAGTAAATACCCCACTGGTAGATTTAAACACGTTGGTTGCTAACAAGAGTCTAAACGAGACGACTAAACGCCAACACGCCCAACATTAGCCATCTTTAGCTTAGCGGTGGTGACCGTGCTGTAGTTCCTTTATAGCCCAACATTAGCCACCTTTAGCTTAGCGGTGGTGACGTGAAGTCATGTGACCGTGCTGTAGTTCCTTTATAGCCCAACATTAGCCACCTTTAGCTTAGCGGTGGTAACGTGAAGTCATGTGACCGTGCTGTAGTTCCTTTATAGCCCAACATTAGCCACCTTTAGCTTAGCCGTGGTGACATGAAGTCATGTGACCGTGCTGTAGTTCCTTTATAGCCCAACATTAGCCACCTTTAGCTTAGCGGTGGTGACGTGAAGTCATGTGACCGTGCTGTAGTTCCTGTATAGCCTTACGTTAGCTTTTTACTTCATAAATCATAAAGGGGTGTTAATATGTGGAGATTATTCTGCTGAACTAAACGTGTTAGTATCATAAACGTTGAGATTATTATCTGAAACAATCCAAAATCACATGGAGAAATCCCATTGGACCAGGGAGATGCTGCCTTCAGGGTCTGACTTCAAACCTGCACATCTCTATGTTAATGACACAGATAAAGTGCAAAATGACCCCCTTTTTGCCCCCCCTATAAAACCTCAGTGTGCCGCTGCCTGTCTTTGGCTGTTTTTGCCCCCTGTGATGTCACTTCCTGCCTCTCCTCATCATCTTTTATGTCCTCCCCCTCAGCTCTTTTTGAAAAAAGAGAAAAGTCTCCTGTCACGGTCGGAGAAGCGATGGGCGCGCCTTGATGACGAGGCGCCTGGGGGGGGCCCCGACACAGAGGGTGGGGGGCGCCACTCGTCCTGATACTTGTCCATCAGCTGCTGGTCGATCACTCGGTGCATATCGTCCTGGAGACGGGACAAAACAGTGAGTAAGATGGAAGAGGAAGGAGAAAATGACCCACTGAGAGGAGGGAATGAAGGGGGGGGGGGGCATTGATCAAGATACCTGTTTCAGAGACACTAGAATCACATTTTACGCCTTTTTATAATATTTGTCGTGGATTGATATTCTTGCATGTTTGTGAATTTGAAGAGATAAAAATCACGGCCTTGAAAGTTTTCCAGATTAAAAAACTGTTGAAAATTATTCTATTTTTTTTTAAATAGCAAGAAAAATGCAGAGGTTTCAGACCTCAAATGATGCAAAGACATCACTTTCAAACACCAGCAAACTTAAATACTATAAGCCCCTATTGGAGCATGTTTAGATATAGATAATACTATATATTTATATATAACTTTGCATGGGAAAAATAGACATGAAGAAAAAAAGATATTTTGTGCAAAAGAAGGAATTAAACTTTGTTCCTTTTTACTTTCATTAAACTTTAAATAATATTGTTTTTCGTTCCACCTGCCTCCAGAAAGATCCCGCAGGAGTTATTGCGTTAAGTTATGCATTACAATTTTGTATTTGAACAAGGAGATTAATAAGGATTGTTGAAGATCTGCAGGAAGTCCTTATGAATCGGTGAAAAGCAGAAAATCTTGGATTTCAGTATACAGGGTGGGTTCAGTGTAAATGAAAATTATATAATAAGTTGTTAAAAAGTGGATAGTGTAAAACTCAACATTTTTCTAACAGGGCAATACTTTAGGGAAGATCTTGTTTATAACATATTTCAATTGACGCCCGTAAACAAGATGGCGCCGCGGACGTAAACAACAACGTGACGTCGGAGCTCCGTAAAAACAAAGCGGTCTCTGCCGTCTGACGCTCTGTTTGATACTCATATTTCTGGAGTAATTATACAGTTTAGAATAGTGTGGTTTAGTGTCCCTAATGCTTTCTAATAAGCCCCACATTTTAAAATGTTGTCTTTAAAATGACACAAAAAAGCTTAATCAAAAACATAAAATCCAACACCAATCACCAAGTGGTTAACATTCTGTGGAAAAATACTGATCTCACGTCTGTAAATGACAACTATCTTGGAAAATGGTTAACATTAATTCAAGGTAATTGGAGATAAAGGGTCCTGGAATTAAATGTTAAAAATATGTGGGCACCCTGTGTAACTTGTCAATAAATGCAATTTAAAAAACATATATTCATTTGAGTTTTAGCCACAAGCTGATAAATCAACATGAGTGATGGGAGACTAAACTGTCATTAGTATAGGAAAACACACTTATCATTCGTAAATGTTAAACTGTAGTATTAATCAAACTAAGCAGCTCAAAGGGGTGTTATATATTAAGTATATGAGATGTTATTGGTTACAGATAAACGGATGGAGGATACAGGTGTATGAGAGAGAGAGAGGGGGAGGGGGAGAGAGGCAGGTGGAGAGAGAGAGAGGGGAGGTGGATGTTTCTCTGTGATAGTCTAAAGGAATACTTCACCCACAAAAAGACCATTTGTTTATTAATAACTCATCCTGTGTTACCTCGAATTATTGACTTCAAGACTGTTCTACTTGTTTCGGTTCTACGTTACTGAGGAGACATGAGAAAGAAAGGTTTTTTTAAAAAAAAAAGGTTTTTAAAGAATATGACCATTTTAGAGGTCAGGGTTTTCTGATGATTTCTGAAAATAATGTAAAATTGAGAATTTAGTTTTTTTAAATGTTCTCATTATTTTTTAAAAGGGGGTGGGCTCATTTTTTGACAATGAAGTAATATAGGTAAATTATCTTTTTTTATATATAGTTTTTGGAAAGTCTGGATTTTAATTGAAAACATTGAATACGTTTTAAAAAAAAGAAAGAATTTCACATTTTTGGAAAAGTATTATTTTAAGTATTGACTTTTTTTTGAAAAATAAAGTAAAATTGTCACATTATTTAAAACTTATTATAAAACGTGTCTTTTTTTATAATATATGTTTTGTACATATCTTCAAAAAAACAGGTAACACAGGGAGAGTCATTGATCTATAGATGGTGATGTAGTGCTGTGAATATTCCTGTAACATCTACACAGAGAGAAGCTGGATGAGCGTCAGGTCACTGTGGCGTGGAATGGCTCGCCATGGTTTATAGTAGGTTTAATGTGGGTTTAATGGGGGGGGTGATACGGCGAGAGGGCTCACCTCTAAGGCAGGAGGGGGGGTAGGTACCACAGGGGGGGGTGGGGGTGGTACGGAAGCTGAGAAAAGGCCACTAGATCAGAAACCACAAGAGCCAAACAGTAAAGAGCCCTGAGGAGGCAAACTGTGGGGGGGGCAGAGAGAGGAGAGAGCTGCTAGTTACAGAGGAGGGGGGGAACACACACACACACACACACACACACACACACACACACACACACACACACACACACACACACACACACACACACACACACACACATACACACACACACACACATACACACACACACACACACACACACACACACACACACACACACACACACACACACACACACTGTCCTACTGTACATATAGGGACACACATCAAGAGCGAGCATTCAAATCCTAAACTTAACTTTGGTTTTTACAATTATTTTTTGCAAACCTATTTTATTTTTACTTGAATCCAATAACTAAGGTATCCTACTTGTAGAATGCTGAAACGACGAAAGGAAAAGGACACTCCTGACACACACACACACACACACACACACACACACACACACACACACACACACACACACACACACACACACACACACACACACACACACACACACACACACTGTCCTACATAGGGACACACATCAAGGATGAGCATCAGAGGAGGAGGAAATATTCAGATCCGAAATGTTACTTTGTTTTTTACTATTTGTGTTTGCAAACCAATTTTTATTTACTTCAAGTTAATCCAATAACTACAGCATCATATCCTACTTGTAGAAAAGGAAACGACTAAAGGAAAAGGTAATTGATGGTGAATAGGGCAGCATGAGGGAAGCTAATGCTAACGTGGTTAGCTTCAGTGAACAGGTGTGTGAGCTGCGACCCACCTGCCAGGCCTCCAGCTGCTGAGACAGGTTGAGTTTCTGCTGGATGGCGTCCAGCAGCTGACCGTTCAGAGACATTATGTCGATCTTACACTTTGCCAGCTCCATTTCCACCGCCTTCTTCCTGCAACACACACAAAAACATATAAATCTCCACATATTAACAACACTTTTTTGAAGTAAAAAGCTAAAGGCGGCTAATGTTGAGCTATAAAGGAACTACAGCACGGTCACATGACTTCACGTCACCACCGCTAAGCTAAAGGTGGCTAATGTTGGGATATAAAGGAACTACAGCACGGTCACATGACTTCACGTCACCACCGCCAAGCTAAAGGTGGCTAATGTTGGGCTATAAAGGAACTACAGCACGGTCACATGACTTCACGTCACCACCGCTACGCTAAAGGTGGCTAATGTTGAGCTATAAATGAACTACAGCACAGTCACATGACTTCACGTCACCACCGCTAAGCTAAAGGTGGCTAATGTTGGGCTATAAAGGAACTACAGCACGGTCACATGACTTCACGTCACCACCGCTAAGCTAAAGGTGGCTAATGTTGGGCTATAAAGGAACTACAGCACGGTCACATGACTTCACGTCACCACCGCTACGCTAAAGGTGGCTAATGTTGAGCTATAAATGAACTACAGCACGGTTACATGACTTCACGTCACCACCGCTAAGCTAAAGGTGGCTAATGTTGGGCGTGATGACGTTTAGTCGTCTCATTTAAACTTGTTAGCAACCAGCGTTTTTAAATTAAACTTTTTAGCTACAATGTTAGAACAATTACCAAACTATATACTATAAACACAGTTGTGTTGAATGGAATTATCTGTTAAACATTATTTTGATTAATTTTATTTATTTGAGTGTTAGCATGTAGCTCGTACTTGGCGATGGCGTCGTCCCGGTCTCTGATGGCCGTCTGCAGCTGTTCGCTCGGCTCTCGGACTTCAGACATCGTCCTGATCCGATCGTTGTCTTCTCGTAAAGAGAGCATCTCTACGGAGAGCAGCGCCACCTGCAGGACGCACAGGGGATACAGTGGAGGAAATAAGTATTTGATCCCTTGCTGAGTTTGTCAGTTCACCCACTTACAAAGAAATGAACAGACTATAATTGTATTGGTAGGTTTATTTTAACAGTGAGAGTAAGGATATCAAAAAGAAAATCCAGAAATTGACATTATATGAAAAGATAAAAATTGATTTAACTGTGGGAAATAAGTATTTGATCCCCTGGAATCAAATCTCTGGATTTTCTATTTGATATTCTGATTCTCACTGTTAAAATAAACCTACCGCCTTCTTCTTGCAACCAGGAAATGATGGATACACGGATCGTGTTCAAATCAATAGGCACGCAATGACTCTAAATAATAATGATCACGCCACCAAACACACATTCAAACTAAAGGAACCAGCCTGTTTGGAAAATGTAAGAAGTAGTACAGGTATTTGTGTTCAACATGTAAGAAGTAGAAAGTACAGGTATTTGGGTTCAAAATGTAAGAAGTAGAAAGTACAGGTATTTGTGTTCAAAATGTAAGAAGTAGAAAGTACAGGTATTTGTGTTCAAAATGTAAGAAGTAGAAAGTACAGGTATTTGGGTTCAACATGTAAGAAGTCAAAGTAAAAAGTCGTCAGAAAAATAAGTAGCGGAGTAAAGTACTGATACCAGAAAAATGTACTTAAGTACAGTAACGAAGTATTTGTACTCCACTACTTCCCACCTCTGATTATTTGACAGATATTTGCATGTTATTGTTCAGCAGATACCTGGTTGTGCAGCTGCAGCACCTCCTCCTGGTTGCTGTGTGTTTTGTGTTGCTCCTCCTCGTACAGATCTCTCACCTCCCTCAGCTCCTCACCTAGCCTCTTCACCTCCTCCACTGCTTCCTCGTCGCTGCGCCGCGACCCCTGCACCCAACACACACACACACACACACACACACATTTATAGCACCGTTCAGTGCACCTGCCTGAACATCAGCAGGAGAGGACTCTTTAAAATAGAGACACTACATACTGATATACACCTGAACTTCAGCAGGAGAGGACTCTTTAAAGTAGAGACACTACATACTGATATACACCTGAACATCAGCAGGAGAGGACTCTTTAAAGTAGAGACACTACATACTGATATACACCTGAACATCAGCAGGAGAGGACTCTTTAAAGTAGAGACACTACATACTGATATACACCTGAACATCAGCAGGAGAGGACTCTTTAAAGTAGAGACACTACATACTGATATACACCTGAACATCAGCAGGAGAGGACTCTTTAAAGTAGAGACACTACATACTGATATACACCTGAACATCAGCAGGAGAGGACTCTTTAAAGTAGAGACACTACATACTGATATACACCTGAACATCAGCAGGAGAGGACTCTTTAAAGTAGAGACACTACATACTGATATACACCTGAACATCAGCAGGAGAGGACTCTTTAAAGTAGAGACACTACATACTGATATACACCTATTTTTGACAGTTTCTGAGTATTTTCATGTTTCTCTGTTCCTTACCGTGGACTCATTTCCGTCCAGCAGGTTCTGGGTGAGTCTCCGGAGCTCCAGCAGTCCGGTGTGGAGACTTCCCGTGGGAACGTCTTTGGCTGAGGACGTCTCCGAGGACTCGTCCATGGAGGAGTCGGTGGAGAGCGCCGAGTCGGTGAGGTCGTTCCCCCGCAGGTGCGAGCAGAGCGAGCGCACCTCGCAGTACGCCTCCCACAGCTGGAGGCGCAGCTGCACACAGGAAACCAGATAGTTAGTTAAAGGTCTCCTGTTATACGATTTTTAGGCATATATTATAGGTCTCAGATATATACAAAACATGTCTCTGATTGGCTGAAACACCAAACAGATCATTGCACCATAATCCCCTCTGTTTCAGCCCTGTTTCCAAAGTGCTGATTCTCTGTCTGTTACTTTAGATGAAAATAAGGAGCCCCTCCCCACGCCCCTCTGAGAGATATTTGGTTAAAAAAAATGGTGCTCTAGGAGGAGATTCAGGTGATAAGGGGGGGGGGTTACCTTGGTTGGTGATTGGCTAATGGTTACACAAGCCGTGTCGTTATGACATCACAAAGTGGCCAAAATCTGATCAGCTCATTTTCAGACAGGTTTTTATATAAATGGATCAGGACAAAAAGAGAGAGAATCTTTGTTCCTGAAGCTTTCAGAGTCTCTTTACACAGAGGGGACACATGTTGATGTAGAAGAGACATGAAGAAGAGGGGACACATGTTGATGTAGAAGAGACATGAAGAAGAGGGGACACATGTTGATGTAGAAGAGACATGAAGAAGAGGGGACACATGTTGATGTAGAAGAGACATGAAGAAGAGGGGACACATGTTGATGTAGAAGAGACATGGAGAAGAGGGGTCACATGTTGATGTAGAAGAGACATGAAGAAGAGGGGACACATGTTGATGTAGAAGAGACATGAAGAAGAGGGGACACATGTTGATGTAGAAGAGACATGAAGAAGAGGGGACACATGTTGATGTAGAAGAAGTTCACCTGCTCCCTCTCCTGCTCCTGCTCTTCTTGCTCCATGCTCTGCTCGATCTCACACAGCAGGCTGGAGGAGGGGGGCAGCAGGCTCTGCTCCTCCGTCAGCTGCTGCAGCCGAACGCTCAGCTGCCGGTGAGACAGCTGGGCCTCCTGCAGCTCTGCATGGCTCTGACGCAGCTAAACACAATGAAAACAGCCAATAAGAAGACAGGATAATACAAAACTAGGCACCTGTTGCACACAAAAATATTTTTCATAAAATATAATTAAAGCCAATATTGCAATAAAATGTCCTCACTGATATCCTCAAAACATGTTGTGTTATTGTTTTTCCTTTTGCTCTCTCTCCTCTACAAATAACAGAAAGAAAATGGTATGTGTATCTAAAGTCATCTTCTTTTGTCTTGTATTACACCATAGCCTCAGTCTACGCCTCTCAGAAACCCATTGTTCTCATCACACACACACACACACACACACACACACACACACACACACACACACACACCACACACACACACACACACACACCACACACACACACACCACACACACACACACACACACACACACACACACACACACACACACACACACACACACACACACACACCCATCAGTCCAAACCAATGTGGTATACCTCAGTTTTTTTTGGGTACATTTCTTTCGCCTGTTTATGTGTCCCTGTATTTGTAATCACTCAACAACAAAAAATTCAGATTTTTTTCCTATTTACTTTTTTTCTACTTCTTATTGAATTATTTTATTTTATTATAATTTGTTACGTATTTTTTCATTTTGTATTGAGATTTGTATATCTTTTTTGTAGCTCAGTCTGTAGGGACTTGACTTGGGAACCGAAAGGTCGCCGGTTTGAGTCTCAAACCTACAGAGTGTGGCTAGAGAGGTGCCAGTCCATCTTCTTATAATTGCATGTATTTTTGTCTATTGTTATTGTTAAGGAATAATTATTCTAGATATCTCTGTGATGTTTTATGATCTACTCTGACGTCTGTTATCTCCTTTAAGGAAAGGCCTTGGTGCCATATGTGTTGTTGTCACCAGTTTGTGACCGGTCAACTTGTCTGGCACGAATGGTAATTGTTGTGAGAACACTGAGGCACTTCTTTATCGGTGTTTGTGGACTCTAAGATGTGAAATCCTTGAGGCCATGAGTGTCGGACGCAGGTGGCTCAGTGTTCCCAGCTGTTTAGTCTACTCCTTCAGAGATGTTGATTACTCTCTGTGAACCAGTTAAAAGGTCTAGCATAGAGAGAGGGTCTTCAGAATTGACGTGGCAACTCTACCGTGTAGTCAGAACCTCTGACTCTTTGACTTGTGATGTGAATCCTCCGGCCGAATACTCTGAATAAACCCATCAGTGTTTGACATCAAAGCTCCAACTCTCACCGTGTCTCCTTCCTGAGTCGGTGACTCCATGCATTGCTACACAGAAGTTTCCCCCACAGTTATTATTGTCTGTTCTTTTTAATTTAATGCAAATAACCAGTGCATGTCAAAATGTAATTTCCCCTGAAAATAAAATATGTCTTGGTCTCAATAGTGTACCTGCAGGTCCTTGACCCCCCAACTACCCCCCACCATGGCTATAGATCCTGTTAGTGTGTGAGTAAGTAATGTGTGGCTTGTGTGTGTCATTTCGTGCAAATAACACCGGATTCAAAATGTAATTACCCCTGAAACTAAAGCATGTTTTGGTCTCAACAGATGTAGATGTGTACCTGCAAGTCCTCGACCCCCAACTACCCCCCAACCATGGCTATAGATCCTGTAATTCATGTCTAGCCCGTATTTAAAAATGTGATTTCCCCTGAAAGAGGATCCCACTGTCCTGAGGGATGTGTGTTAGCACAAAGCTTCATATCAGCTGACTCACAACATGCAACATGTAACGGCCTTCAACTCAAGGCTAACATCACAACACACTCATAGTTAGTGTGTTTGGCCTGTGTGTGTGATTTAATGCAAATATCAGTAAAAACCTAATTTCCCCTGAAACTAAAGCATGTCTTGGTCTCATAGTGTACCTGCAGGTCCTTGTGGTGGCTGTGCCTCTCCAGCAGCATGGTCCTCTCCCTCAGCTCGTCCACGGAGCTCTGCAGCAGCTCGTTCTCCTCCAGCATGGCGTGCAGCCGCCGCTCCAGCTCCATCTTCCTCTCCGCCAGCATCTTAATCTGCACACGCACACACACACCAGCGCAGTGAGACATATGAAGGGTGGTTCAATCCCTGGAGGACGGCGGGCGGAGGATCTGATTTACGGCTGAATGTTGTTTTATTTCTGACTCTGAGGAACGCTGGGCTCTTTCACAAGATCAGAATCACTCCCACTGTCCTGAGGAATGTGTGTTAGCACAAAGCTTCATATCAGCTAACTCACAACATGCAACATGTAACGACCTTCTACTCAAGGCTAGCAACACAACACACTCAGAGGTTGTTTAAAAAATAAAATAGCAATGTTAAAGCCTTAGTGTTTAACCTTTAATCAGTTAATTCAATCCATTTTCTTTTTTGTATCATCCTCAAAAAACATTAAAGCTGAGATTTTAAGTCAGTTTAATTAGTTTATTAATTTAATATTATGTATATGGATGTCATCCCCTGCATTTGTATTTACTTTTATTTATTACTTTTGTTTCTTTGTTGTCATTTGAGGTCTTTTAGGTCTTTTAGTTATACTTAGTCTGTTTTTTTATCTCTGCATCTAAAGTTTTCTTTTACATTACCTGTCACTTGTTAGACGCTTTTAACCAACATACATTCAATACCGTGTATAGTATTGTGTTTTAGCAGATTTGTTATATTTTTTATTGAATATTTAATTGGATACATCTCAGTTTTTATAGTTGCATATATTTTTGTCTATTTTAATTTATTCTCTGTTTATTTTTATCTCTGCATCTTTGCACGAAAGGTTCAATATAAATAAAGTTTTTTTTTCAAGTTGTGTTCAAAAGGAGGGTTTCAACACGCCATTTGTTGTGTTTTAGCAGCTTATTTATTAAAAAGATCCCCTGCAGCTGCCGGAGCAGATCTTCTTTCATCCCTCCTGCTCTGACCCACATCCTGTAACCTACTTACACCATGTGGATCTCTGCTTTCATTAATAAGAGCTCGTCACAGGAAGCGTCACAGAGCTGCAGTGCTCCTCTAAATATAGAGCGGAGCCTCTCCTCAGCGCTGTGCCGTCTGGGAGTTTCTGCACCGCGCTGAGGAGAGGCTCGGGAAATCTGCTCAGATGATGTTGTTTTTGTTGTTGTTGTTGTGCTCTCTGACTGTGTTTGTTACTATATCATACGTGACACAGCAGTGATCACAACACAGCTACTAGATACAAGCATGATTTAAATAATGTGTCATTTATTCTTATAATTTGATTATTATATTATTATTATTATATTTTATTTGTATATTTATACAAATAACACAAATACAAATAATATACATTTCTAAGTGGATAGATGATTCATTATTTTGTTGTGATTATTAACAAAGGCTTAATAACGTGTAAACAATATGAAATGTGTGGAACAAGAACCTGATTAAATAAATACAAAGTTGCATTTAATCTGAATTTAATTGTTATTGTTGTTGTTGTTGTTGTTAAAACATTACATTTAAAATGCTTAGGTTTTGAAGTTATATCAAGTCAAAGGAGTTTGTATTTCATTCAGCATGTGATTCAATAATCTATTCTTTAAAATGATAGTATTTGGACTCTCTTCAACTCATTTAACAGAAGGGTCAATTATATATGTTATTTTACGAGACGTCACATGCAGCATGCAGACAGACAGGAAGTCACTCACTTCTAGCCCTTGCTGCTCCAACAGGGAGGAAGGAGAGGAGAGGGTGAGGAGGGGGAGATAAAGATAACAGACAGAGGGAGTTAATGTGAGATGAATCCAACAACTGAGAGGAAGGACCCTGCATGGTGGGTTGAACTCACACAGAGAGAGAACACACAACTAAATCATATTTTTGAGTTTCTTACATTTTCGTTTTGTGATATACACAGAGGTGTGAAGTAACTAAGTACTGTACTTAAGTACAATTTTGAGGTACTTGTACTTTACTTGAGTATTTCTATTTTTTGCTACTTTGCAGAATCACTACTTTCACTTTTGGTATTTTGATGATAATAATTTTTTACTTTTACTTGAGTAACATTTTGAATGCAGGACTTTTACTGTAACTTCTACTTTTACTCAAATACAAGATCTGAGTACTTTTATATATAATACAATTAAAAGAAATCTTGAAAATGTTTCTTTTGTGTTATATATTTGTAAAGCTAAATCATGATCATGTAAGCTAGACTAAAATCTATATTTGTTTCTTTTTTACAACTGAATTATTCCTACTATGTTTATGTGTGCACCGTTACCACTAAAGCAAATCCCCTATATGTGTAAACCTACTTGGCAAAAATGAATCTGATTCAGATTTTGAAAGTTGATCCATTTTCTTTCACTTCAAGCTAAAAGACATGTTTAGAGGGGAGTTTAAGAGACATGTGCTACCAGAGGGGGAACAGGTTCATTCAAACATATAGCATGAGATACAAAGAGCCTGAAACGTCCCTTTAAAGGTGGGGTAGGTAAGTTTGAGAAACCGGCTCGAGATACACTTGTTGTTATATTCCATGGAATGCTCTTAACATCCCGATAGCAATGAATATCTGAAGTGCTTTGACAAAAAATCCATAAATAAATGTCATCTGTGGAAGCCATGGTACTGTAAAAAGCACGACCAATCATCTGAGCCGGCCCGGCTAAAATAACTGGATGGCCTACCTGCCTGTCAGCCTTCCATCTGTGCACAAACTTATCTCGTGCCCTCATTGGTCATGTGCGCGTTCGTGTGTGTTGGAGGAGGGGCTCTGGAAGGAAGTGGCAGATTTTCTCCGGTTGTGTATTTTCAAATTCTAGCGATCTCGAGCCGGTTTCTCCAACTTACCTACCCCACCTTTAAATTATAATCCTCACTTTAGCATTAGACACAGAGATACCTGTAAGAACAGCTGTGTGTGTGTGTGTGTGTGTGTGTGTGTGTGTGTGTGTGTGTGTGTGTGTGTGTGTGTGTGTGTGTGTGTGTGTGTGTGTGTGTGTGTGTGTGTGTAGCCGCTCACCTCCGCCTGTAGAGTCTCCAGTCGGGTCGTGTGCTCGCTGCTGGACAGGCTCTTCTCCCTGAAGTCATCCCGTAAAGAGTTCACCTGAGTGGACAGCTGCCTCTCCACCTCTGCAGCCTGCACACACACACACACACACACACACACACACACACACACACACACACACACACACACACACACACACACACACACCACACACACACACACACACACACACACACACACACACACACACACACACACACACACACACACACACACACACACACACACACACAGAGAGAGAGAGAGAGAGAGAGAGAGAGAGAAATATTGCATTAATGTTTGCCTTGATTGTCTCTGCTCTCAAAACTATTTTCAGGAAACAAGAATAGATACTTCATCACACTGTAAAACATCTCAAGTGCTGTTGAGGTCTCGTTCTGCAGCATATGAAAAAGCAGTTTGGAGGAATCCATCACAACAAGAAAATAATAAATATATCATTACATTACATGTCACTTGTTGAACCAGTGCATTTACCCACTGAGCCACTTCCTCCCATATACTGTATATATATATACACACACACACAAACGCACGCACGCACGCACGGACGCACACACGCACACACACACAGGCAGTAGTGTGTGTTGCCCCCTAGAGGCTGCATTTCACATTGATAATTAAAGTGTCTTATAAGCATTACATTACTTTGTATTTAAAGCTTATTATTGGATGTATTATTTAATGTTGCAGACAATGTGAAAGAGGTGCGTGTTCATCAATTAGATAATAAAACCAGGTACGTAAAGCGTGGTGACGTCAGAGGTTACGCACGGATGTAAACAAAGCGAGAAAAAAGTTACAAACTGGAAACAAAACATGACGACATGTCAACCTGCAATCTACTAGAGAAAGATGGAGATATTATATCAGGATTTCTTAGTTTTTGTTCATCATGTCGCTTTGTATTGGTGAAAACTGCACAGCACATCACCAGGACGGAGCTGCCATCCATGGAGGACCTTTACTCCCCAGCGGCTCAGGAAGAAATCACTACGGATTATCAAAGACCCCCATCACCCCAGCCACAAACTGTTCTTTCTGTTGCCGTCTGGCAGACGTTACCGCAGCATCCTGGCAAGGACAAGAAGATTCGGAGACAGTTTCTTCCCGCGGGCAGTGAGACTGTTAAACAATTGAACTGTTGAAACAACTTCAAAACATTCATCTGCTACTCAGTAATATGTATCTAATATCTAATATATATCATTCCAATAACTTGTATATAGACTCGTACTGCACTATTCCACTTTTTTTTTCTCTCTCACTTTATTTTAGAACTATTTTTCTTTTTGTATTGCTCTTGCTATCTGTATTATTATGTTGCATTGTTGGAGAAGCCTGTGACGCAAGATTTTCAACGACATAATTACTCTGTAGCTATGTTAGTTTGACAATAAAGAACCTTGAACCTTGAACCTTGAATCTTGTATTGTCCGAGTTTCATTTTGTCCAGAGATGATAATGATATACATATTGATCCGGGAATATGCGGACAGCAGGAACAGCTGATCAGACACGTGAGTAAATACTTTATCCTGCACATTACATCAAGTCATTCAGAAAACATGCCTTAAACACGTGTATCATGAGTGTGATTTAGTTTATACAGTAGCATTGTAAATGTAAAATGCATGCATGCTCAGTGATGCACAGTGTACATGTATACAGGAGGATTTTTACAGAAATGCATACACAGAAAGATCTGTGCAAATACATAAACAGCAGCAGGTGTCTACGTGGTAATTTATGTGAGAATATTTGTATTTATTTGTTGGCATGCATTCTTTAAAACCTCTTTTTAAGGCAGGCATTGTGTTGCAGTTTTGCTGCTTTTCAACATAAAAAGACTGAGATGTTTAATCATATTCTGCTGTTTCCGTACAGCTTTTGTAATTTATTATATTTATGTGGTCTATAACATACAACAATACCAAAGTGATGGTACACCGTACATGGCATGGCTGAAGTTACAATAATATTGCTAGAAAACACCAAAATCCTAAAAAAACAATGCAGCTTGAAATGTAGCCTCTAGGGGGCAACACACACTGCTGCTGTATGTGTGTGTGCGTGTGTGTGTGTGTGTGTGTGTGTGTGTGTGTGTGTGTGTGTGTGTGTGTGAAGCAGCTGCAGTGTAGAGTAACAAATCTGACCCACTGGCACAGTATTGTGACAGATGTACATCCTGTGGTCTGGTTTCTAGCAGATTCTCTCCTAATCTGAACATCAATCAGATCCAGGATCAGATTTATCATCGTGACTGACCAACAGAGAAACATCAGACTGCTGAGAAAACCCAGAGCAGCAGAGAGACAAATCTTTACAGCAAGGAAACTCAATTTACTAAACCGCAGGGGAGACGTATGCAACGTGACAGGATGCTATAGGGTAGGACATTCAGGGTTTAGACCAAACACATCAGAGTGACCTTTTGAATTCACTCAAATCCAACAAAAATCTATTTGTAGAAAGGTTCATTTTCTCCAAAGAGGTGTGTTACAACGTTACAAAACATTTCAATTAGAAGAAACGTGCTGCAGCTTCAGAAACAACGCAGATATAAAAACACAAATGTTCCAAAAACACATGAAGAAACATCTTCAGCAACTTGACAACACATGCAGCGTTTAGGAACCATTCAGCAACTTGAGGAGACATGCGCAGCATTTACTAAAAGCTGCAGAAACCAGACGCTGAAAATACAAAACGCTGCAAGAAGCTCAAACACAACAGAGACCAGGGGACACTAAAGAGTGACGCACACAGCTAGGAGACCAGGGGACACTAAAGAGTGACGCACACAGCTGGGAGACCAGGGGACACTAAAGAGTGACGCACACAGCTGGGAGACCAGGGGACACTAAAGAGTGACGCACACAGCTGGGAGACCAGGGGACACTAAAGAGTGATGCACACAGCTGGGAGACCAGGGGACACTAAAGAGTGACGCACACAGCTGGGAGACCAGGGGACACTAAAGAGTGACGCACACAACTGGGAGACCAGGGGACACTAAAGAGTGACGCACACAACTGGGAGACCAGGGGACACTAAAAAGTGACGCACACAGCTGGGGGACCAGGGGACACTAAAGAGTGACGCACACAGCTGGGAGACCAGGGGACACTAAAAAGTGACGCACACAGCTGGGAGACCAGGGGACACTAAAGAGTGACGCACACAACTGGGAGACCAGGGGACACTAAAAAGTGACGCACACAGCTGGGGGACCAGGGGACACTAAAGAGTGACGCACACAGCTGGGAGACCAGGGGACACTAAAAAGTGACGCACACAGCTGGGAAGGAGCGCTTGGTGGCGTTCAGGATTATAAAGTTGAACAACTGTCTCTGTTGTTGGAAACCTACCTAAAATGTTTTATGTTCTTATTTTAACAATGTGATCACATGACTCCTTCTGATTTTACTGCAGATCTGCTGTAAGCTAGCTAGCTAACGTAGCTACCGATTGGTGGCGTTCAGGATTTTAAAGCTGAACAACTGTCTCTGGAAACTTGTAGTGTTTTTGCAATAGTCGGCCACCATCACTAATCCAGTACAGTTAAGCATAATTTAAACGTTTCTATTTTCTATAATTTAAAAAGGCAGCCTAACTGTACACATGTTGTTAGCATTAGCAGGCAGCATTTTATGAGGAGAACTTTTAAGTAAGTTTAAGTTTACCATAAAAACACATGTTGCCTTTGTTCGTAGGTTTGCCTTTGTTTGTTATTATTATTAAAATTAGTTGATATAAATGTTTTAAATATAAAAACACAAGCTTTACTCTGATTTAAAGCCGTAATATGCCACGCCTGGACCATCGGGCCTGAACTGGAGTAGCTGATATTAGCTCCTCTAAATCCTGAACCACTTTAGCATCTGCATTTTTTTTTTTTAATCAGCAATGAAATAGGAAAAGTTGTGTAAAATCTACCAAGTAAGCTCATGAAAAGCTTCCCATACAACAGTTTAATTGTACTGTATTATAGTGTAACAGGACTTCATACCGTGTGTAACCCCCTGTTTCCTCACTGCGTCACTCTCCTCTCCTAAATGGCTGCAGGTGCTTCCCCTGTGTTTTTAAAGCTGCCCAAAAAAAAAAGAACGACCTGTATCCCAAGAGCACGTTCCTATGGTAACAGCAACACAGGGACTCTTATCAATTTGCATGTCATACGTAGTCATAGAAACCAGGGAGACGTCGTGATTGGTCGGAGCTGCAGCAGGGGGTGTCGGAGCTTCTGGTGTTTTTCTTTTAGTCGCTGAGCGATGCTCGTCTAGACTTCAAAGGAGAGCAGGAGACTAACAGCATTACATAACAAGCACTGAGAGGGACAGCCAATCAGAGGGCGGGAACAGGAAGAGCCAATCAGAACGCAGGGAACAGGAAGAGCCAGTCAGAGGGCAGGGACAGGAAGAGCCAATAAGAGAGCAGGAACAACAATAGCCAACCAGAGAGCAGGAACACTAATAGCCAATCAGAGGGCAGGGACAACAAGGGCCAGTGAAAGGACAGGGATCGTAAGAGCAAATCAAATAGCAGGGAATGGAAGAGCCAATCAGAGAGCAGGGAAAAGAATAACCAATCAGAGAGCAGCAGACACCTGAAGGATCATGGGAGGTTATGTGCTCCAATACACATACTGCCATACTGTAGTATTTAGTATGTACCAATAATACAGTATATGTAAAATATAAAAGTGTAGTATGTACCGACATAAAAAATATATATTTAAAGGTTTACCTTGTACCAAAAATACACGATATGTAACAATGTATATACAAATATAAAAGTTTGGTTTGTACCAATAATACACTACATGCAGTAGTTATTATAATTAAAACAATAATATTAATAATATATGTTTTTTGTTTTTATTAAGAACTTTCCTATTTATTTTATTTTATTTTTTGTTTTTGGTGCAAATGGCAACGAGCACTAACAAAATGATGCGCTAAACGTGTCCAATTTGGCTCAATTAAAGAAAAAGGTGATACAAAAACGTTCGCCTACACCTCTTGTTGTTAAAAGTTGACAAATGACAGAATGACTCCTGGTCTTTATCCGTATTCCAGACGTTTCATTAGAGTTGATTTGAGCCATAAATCAGAGCTGCAGGTAACGAGATCACAGGAAGGTCATCCTCTGATCTCATTACCTGTTCTCTCTTTGAACACCAGTTTATCTCCAGGTGTGTTTCATATATATTACAAAGTTATCAGACGGGGGGGGGGGGTTAGGGGATCTGTGACACCCCCATGCCATTATCAGAACTGCTGCATTATAAGACCCTTATCTCCAGATAAATCAATCAAAAAATTGGCCTCATGCACCTGTTTAATCTTTACAATAAAATATTTATATTTATATGAACATACAAAGTTTCAGGCTCCAGTACATCCAGAACTTAGCTGCCAGGGTTCTCACACGCACCAAGCCCTGGCAGCACATCACCCCCACTCTCTTCAACCTCCACTGGCTCCCGGTCAAGTCCCACATCACCTACAAACTCCTCCTCGTCACCTACAAGTCCCTCCATGCCCTCTCCCCTCAGTACCTCACAGATCTCCTCCACCCTTAAATCCCGTCCCGCACCCTTCGATCCTGAGACTCCGGCCTGCTCTCCATTCCCCATTCACGCCTCTGCACCTTCGGGGGCCGTGCCTTCAGTGTCGCTGCCCCCCCCCCCCACCCTCTGGAACTCCCTCCCTGCTGAAATCCGTAACGCCCCTTCTCTGAACATCTTCAAATCAACCCTGAAAACTCATCTGTTCAACAAAGCCTTCCACCATTAACTCACTCTCCCCCCCCCCCTGCAATGTAACACTTCCATTTCTGCCCCCTGTTTTATGTCTTGTATATGTCTTGTCATATGCTCATTGTTAAAGGTCCCATGTCATGGCCATTTCTACTGATCATAATTCCATTGTTGAGGTCTACTAAAATAAATGTATATTGTGCAATGTTCCAAACTCACATTGGTTTCTCATACAGCATCTCTGTATAGTATGTGTATTCACTCTCTGTCCTAAACGCCTTGTTGGAGCTCCTGCCCCCCCCCTCCCTGTGAGCCCAGTGGCCGTCTGCGAGACAGCGAGACACAGCGAAACTCAGCCCGAACAAACACACACACACACACCCGCAGCCTGGCTAGGAGTTTGTGTGTGTGCTCAGGCTGAGTTCCGCGGTGTCTCGCTGTCTCGCCGACCGCACACCAGTGAGCCAGCTCACAGTGTCCGCTCCTCGCAGCAGCGAGCCTCGCAACGTCCCGCCAAGTGTGTGTGTGTGTGTGCGTGTGTGTGTGTGTGAGAAAGTCTGCGGATTGGTCCAAACGTAACGGCTCCGCGGATTGGTCAATTTGGACCAATCTGCGGAGCCGTTACGTTACGTCACTATACCCGAAATACGTCACTATACCCAAGAAGTAAACAATAGAAAAAGAGAAATCTCCAACGAGGCGTTCTGGGGCAGCATAGACAGGTCTTTTCTGTGTTAGAGTTTTACTCGCTACAGGGTGTACTTTGAGGGTTTGTGACTCCGCAGACCGTTTACATGCAGAACAACCTTCATAACACACAAGGGGACGGGTAATAAAGCATGACATGGGACCTTTAAGCGACCTTGGGTTGATGAAAGGCGCTATATAAATTAAAGTTATTATAATTATTATTTAAATGTCCAATACAATAAAATAGGAGAAAATTATTTGTCTAAAAATAAGACCTTCAAGTAGTGTGTCAATTTCTTTTTAAATATAGAATAAAATATATGTATTAAATAAGAAGTTGAAGTAAAGGGTCCAATAAAACAAATATTATAATAGCATACACATATTTATCGAAAAATAAGACGGTACAGTAAAGTTTTAAATAAAAAATAATAAAGAATAAAATATTTATATTAACATTAGAAGTAAAAGTAAAATATTCAATACAAAATAAATGTTAAAACATGTAATAAAAATTAAAGAGTGAAAATAAAGTTTCATATTTAAAAATATAATGCAAATACGGTTATATCTTTGTATACACTGTAATATACATGACTTTATCATCATTTGTATTAAAATAATTATAATTATTGTTGTTATTTGTTGTCATTTAATGTCCAGACACACAGACACACAGACACACACACACACACACACACACACACACACACACACACACACACACACACACACACACACACACACACACACACACACACACACACACACACACACATATGGTGAGGACGGATTACAGCTAATCCCGTCAGATCTGTATCTCCCTGAGTGACCTCACTTCCTGTGCAGAGACCTGACTCAAGGTCACCCTCTGCAGCCAATTAAAGACTCTGTGAAGATTATTAAATTGATAGGGGGGGGGGGGCATTGTTCCTTTAAATATAATCCGTGGCTGCTTTACTGGAAGTGATATACATGAAGAACAAAGAAGTATTCATGAATTAATAAATGCATTGAAATGCTAATTTAAGATATTGATTAATTAATAAATCGTTTTTTAAGCTGGATACACGTTTATAGTTGGTAGATTTTAAATCATTCATGCATCTAAGACTGTTATTTAAATATAAATAAGGATTGAACTCAACTTAATGTAGCTTCAACATGCAGACAAACATAATTTGTAATAGATAATATATTTAAGAAAGGAAAGAAAGAAGAAATGTGAAAAAACTGTATAAAATGATATTAAAATGAAAATAAAAGAGAGGTAGAGAAGCATGAAATGACATGATTAAATAAGAGATAAATAAGAAAAATATTAGAGAGAATTAAGAATAAAATGAACCATAAATAATAATGATTAAATGTGAGGAAAAGACATGATTAAATAAGAGATAAATAGGAATGAAAAAACAGAGAAAGACGAATAAAGTAGGAGATAAAGACATGTAGACTAAATATACGATATAGTGAACTCAGGTATTTTCTCTCTCACATCTGGATCAATTAAGTGAATTAAATCTCATAATTTCTCAAAGACCGTAGATAATACGCTCCCTCCTGAAACAAAATACTGCAGGTTCAGGAAAAACATCTTCTTCGATTCCCACACCCAGGTTTAATCACATTAAATGCAGTTTAATTATTCTAAGTGCCGGACTTAATCTGATCAAGAAGAGACCGAGAGCTGGGGTTAAATCCTCCTCCTCCCTGAACACAGGACATGTACACAAGGACGGGTATTAAGTGCACATTTGAGGTACTTGTACTTTAATTATTTTTGTGCTACCTTATAATTCTACTGCACTAATATTCAAAGAGACATTTGACTCCAATACACAAATCCTACAGCTTTTACATGTTGTACTTAAATGGGCCCTATTCTCCTCATGTTCAGGTGTATATCAGTATGTAGTGTCTCTACTTTAAAGAGTCCTCTCCTGCTGATGTTCAGGTGTATATCAGTATGTAGTGTCTCTACTTTAAAGAGTCCTCTCCTGCTGATGTTCAGGTGTATATCAGTATGTAGTGTCTCTACTTTAAAGAGTCCTCTCCTGCTGATGTTCAGGTGTATATCAGTATGTAGTCTCTCTACTTTAAAGAGTCCTTTCCTGCTGATGTTCAGGTGTATATCAGTATGTAGTCTCTCTACTTTAAAGAGTCCTCTCCTGCTGATGTTCAGGTGTATATCAGTATGTAGTGTCTCTACTTTAAAGAGTCCTCTCCTGCTGATGTTCAGGTGTATATCAGTATGTAGTGTCTCTACTTTAAAGAGTCATCTCCTGCTGATGTTCAGGTGTATATCAGTATGTAGTGTCTCTACTTTAAAGAGTCCTCTCCTGCTGATGTTCAGGTGTATATCAGTATGTAGTGTCTCTACTTTAAAGAGGAAATTTCCAGTATCTTTCTGAGGAAGGAACCAGAGAGATGCTGCCTTCAGGGTTGCATTACAAAAACATGTCATCCCTGCAGCATTACTCTGGGCTTTGAGTCACCGTGTCACATGGTCTTAATGCTGCTTTAAGCAACCTTGCATCGTGTGTGAGTGTGTGAGTGTGTGTGTGTGTGTGTGTGTGTGTGTGTGTGTGTGTGTGTGTGTGTGTGTGTGTGTGTGTGTGTGTGTGTGTGTATGTGTGACATAAGAGCCTCATAACTCCACTGAACTGTGTTAACTCATCAATATAAAAGTAGCCTTTCAGGGTTTTTATGTTGAATAATGCAGATTGCAGAATGATCAGACGGCACACTTATGCAACAGCACTCTGCATATTGGCAGGTAATTTGAGTGCAGGTATTGTGACAGGCAGCGCAGAAAATGTCCGGATATTCAATCATAAATACATAACGCAGCGCTCAGGGCTGGCAGAGGGACTCGAGGCTGTACTGAGAAACTGAGATTGGGCTAAATAAGCTAAAAGTGCTAGCGTCTGTAGCTACAGTTGATTACTCCCTGGACAGAAGCTCAGTAAAACACCTCTGTGTGATCAAATATACACCAAGATATAGATGTTGGCTTATTTAAATCAATGTGTAAAATAAAGTTTAATATTACATGTAAAAGCACCCTATGCAGAAAGTGCTTTAAAAAAATCAACCCCACTTTTGTTAATTTTAAATTGTAAATGCAATAACAAGATGTAAATAGTTAACGTATCTTAAAGAACTACATTTTGTTTTGTATTCACTCACTCGCACGCACGCACGCACGCACGCACGCACGCACCGCACGCACGCACGCACGCACGCACGCACGCACGCACGCACGCACGCACGCACGCACGCACGCACGCACGCACGCACACACGCACACACACACACACACACACACACACACACACTCTCTCTCACCCTGCTGAGTTGCTCCAGCAGCCGGTGGTTCTGATTGGACAGCTCTCTGATGGCCGTGCTCTTGTCCCTCTCAGCCTCCCTCAGCTGCAGCTGGTTCTGATCCAGTTCTCCCTGCAGCTGCTGCACGTCGGCCTCCAGCTCGGCCACGCCGCCCTCCCACTCGCCCTCCCGGCGCTCCAGACGCCGGCGCAGCTCGTGCTTCTCCTGCTCCAAGTGCTGCATGAAGACAACGGGAGAAAAGGGGTATGATTAAACCTTTTATTGATTTACATCAAGGGTGTCCAAACTTTTTTCACCGAGGGCCACATAGAGAAAAATATACGAAGGGCTGGGCCCCTCACTTGAGATATACTGCCTCATAAGTTCAGTTATAAGTTAGCAAAATCAATCAAAAGTAGGTACATGATGCTCGTGAGTGTTGGCAGCTCATCCCTTAAAACAGAAGCCTCAGATTGATGATAATAAGGAGAAATAGGAAGGGTAGATTTCACGCTTGTTATGGAAATAAGTTATTGGGCTTTTTTCTTATCAACTAAGATTTGTCAGAAAATGTTTCCAACTTGAATTGACTGAATTTCTTTGAAAAGTGATCTTATTAACACGTGAATACTACTGTGTAATATATGTTTACATTTATATTTAAAAAGTACAATATAAGACAAGCACAAGTTTCATTTGTGGGCCATATTCCATTATACTTTTTTAATTTCTGAGGGCCGATTCAAAATGGCCCGCGGACCGCATTTGGCCCCCGGCCCGCAGTGTTGAAACCCCTGATTTACAGTTTTACCTAATTCTACAGAAACACGCTACAATAAAAATCTTTAAAGATGTCATATCATGCTTTTTGGGTTTTCCCTTTCCTGTAGTTTGTTAGGACCTGAAACGCCTCCATTGGACTCCTTTGTTTACTTCCTGAACTTAGTGACATCCCTTGTGACACCTATTGGCTAGCGTTCCAACACATTGTACGTGTGGACATCAGGAGGGGACTCTTTAAAGTAGAGACACTCCATACTGATATACACCTGAACATCAGCAGGAGAGGACTCTTTAAAGTAGAGACACTACATACTGATATACACCTGAACATCAGCAGGAGAGGACTCTTTAAAGTAGAGACACTACATACTGATATACACCTGAACATCAGCAGGAGAGGACTCTTTAAAGTGGAGACACTACATACTGATATACACCTGAACATCAGCAGGAGAGGACTCTTTAAAGTAGAGACACTACATACTGATATACACCTGAACATCAGCGGGAGAGGACTCTTTAAAGTAGAGACACTACATACTGATATACACCTGAACATCAGCAGGAGAGGACTCTTTAAAGTAGAGACATTGCATACTGATATACACCTGAACATCAGCAGGAGAGGACTCTTTAAAGTAGAGACACTGCATACTGATATACACCTGATAATCAACAGGAGAGGACTCTTTAAAGTAGAGACACTACATACTGATATACACCTGAACATCAGCAGGAGAGGACTCTTTAAAGTAGAGACACTACATACTGATATACACCTGAACATCAGCAGGAGAGGACTCTTTAAAGTAGAGACACTACATACTGATATACACCTGAACATCAGCAGGAGAGGACTCTTTAAAGTAGAGACACTACATACTGATATACACCTGAACATCAGCAGGAGAGGACTCTTTAAAGTAGAGACACTACATACTGATATACACCTGAACATCAGCAGGAGAGGACTCTTTAAAGTAGAGACACTACATACTGATATACACCTGAAACATCAGCAGGAGAGGACTCTTTAAAGTAGAGACACTACATACTGATATACACCTGAACATCAGCAGGAGAGGACTCTTTAAAGTAGAGACACTACATACTGATATACACCTGAACATCAGCAGGAGAGGACTCTTTAAAGTAGAGACACTACATACTGATATACACCTGAACATCAGCAGGAGAGGACTCTTTAAAGTAGAGACACTACATACTGATATACACCTGAACATCAGCAGGAGAGGACTCTTTAAAGTAGAGACACTACATACTGATATACACCTGAACATCAGCAGGAGAGGACTCTTTAAAGTAGAGACACTACATACTGATATACAACTGAACATCAGCAGGAGAGGACTCTTTAAAGTAGAGACACTACATACTGAGTGACGGTTAAAATATTAGGATGCTTCTTTCTTTTATCTACAGATAATACAAAGTGCACAGCTGCACAGAGGGGGGTTGGTGTGTTTATGGTTAGACCCTGAAGCATCTGGCATCTGCGTGGGCAAAACAGCAGTTTATTATAACCATCATTAAAGAAAGTGTTAATTGATCATTAATTAAACTCTAGTTATTAGTAATTTGACTGTAAATAAACAATGACATTTTAACAATTTAATGCACATAATAACATTGAATATACTATTTTAAGTATGTGTTAGTGATTACCAAATGATTTGTAAACTTGAGCAATCGTTCTTTATAAGATATTTATAGACATTATTTATAACACTTTGTTCATATTTAATAATGTGTTTACCTCCTATAAACATGATCTTAAAGACTATCGGTAATAAACACTTTGTAAAAGATCTAGAAAGTGAATACTTTAACACAAATTAATTATTGATTTCTCGTCCTGTATATAATTTATAGATGATTTAAAAATAAATGGGTGATTATTAACAAACACTAAATAAAGTGTATACAACATTATAATATAATGTAATCAGAATATACATTTGATTGTCTCTCAGCTTGTGCAAAATTCAAATAATTAAGAGAAAACACATTAAACTTATTATAAAATATCCATTTGCTATTGATTATTGAGACTTGTTTTCAGATGCATGTTTCTTGTCTGAATGCATCAAAACACTCACAAACCACAGTGAGAGCTGTCAGAGCAGGAGCAGTGATTTCTAAAAGCTTCAATAAGAGGAGTTGGATATTAGATTTGATATTAAGAGGCAGCTTATTATTCCTGCAGCAGGAGGAGGATCTGGATCACAGAGCTGAGCAGATGTACCCTGCAGACTCAGGATTACTCTTTGTGTTTTTCTCACGCCATGTGTTGATGAGGATTTTTTTTAAAACAACAACAACAAAAGCTGATCTGAACTGCAGTCATTGTACTGTACACACACAGGGGTGGCATGCAACTAAGTGCTGTACTAAGTGCACATTTGAGATACTTGAGGTAGTGGGATAGCGGTGGTCTAATGCAGTGGTTCTCAAATGGGGGTACGCGGACCCCTAGGGGTACGTTGGAGTACTGCAGGGGGTACGTGAGATTTATTTTATGTTAATGAAAAAAAAAACATAACAGATAATATATACCAATTTTAGGAAAAGTAACGAAGTTTGAGCAGTGTGGGTTTTATATTAATAGACTAGAGTTACACATATTTCAAAACACGAAGTGTAATAACTGCAGTTTGCCTCCCTGTCAGAATGACAAAGATCCTCAGTGAAGCACAAGCCCATGTTTCTCACTAAATTGTAAGTACAACTTAATAAAAAGATCAGTTCAATGCAACTAATGTCGTCTTAGTGTTATTGCATGATGTTAAAATTGGTTGGCCATGAATTTAGTGATGGATTGTAAAATGTAGCATTTAAGTGTTTCTCAGTTACAATGTTGTTTTAATAAATCAGACACTGATGGTGCAGCGCTGTACTGTACCTCTTTATAGAGGCATTTTTTCCCTAACAAATCGTTTTTGCGCTGATCAGGGGGTACTTGGCTGAATTTGTTTTTCAAAGGGGGTACATTATTGAAAAAAGTTTGAGAATCACTGGTCTAATGGCTGAAGATCGGAAGGTTGTGAGTTCAAATCCCGCCAGGAACACCACCACTAGTGTGCCCTTGAGTAAGGCACTTAGCCCTCAGTTACTCCAGGGAGAATGTCCCTGTAATTGGTAATTGTAAGTCGCTTTGGATAAAAGCTAAATGACATGTAATGTAATACTTATTTACTTCTACTCTGGTACAATTCAAAGGGAAATATTGTACTGTTTCCTTTAGTAGGAACACTTGTCCATGCTTTTATCTTCAGTAGACTGGACTACTGTAATGATGTCTTTACAGGTCTCACTGAAGCATCTATTAGAAAGCTGCATTAGCTAACTCCGATTAGAAAACGCAGCTGCTCGAGTCCTCTCTGACACTAAGAAAGTGGATCACTCCAGTTCTGAAGTTATTACACTGGCTTCCTGTCCGTCACAGACTTCAAAATACTGCTGCTGGTTTATAAAGCATTGAATGGTTTAGGGCCAAAATTCATTTGCAATCACCTGCTAAATACTCTCCGGTCTTCCGGTCTGCTGTCTGTCCCCACAGTCAGAACTAAACCTGGAGACGTTCAGTTATTATGCTCCAAACATCTGGAACAAACTCCCAGAAACCTGCAGGTCCGCTCCAACTCTGACTTTAAATCCAGAATGAAGACTTTTCTTTTTGCCGCTGCTTTTAATTGATATATTCACATCTCACACTGCTCTGTAACTTGTATTCATGTATTTTATACCTGTGTTATTCTATATTAGCTTGTTTTATTATTTTAGCTTGTTAATGACTGTTTTTAAATGCCATTTTATAATGTGTTTATTTCTTAATGCTCATAATGTCTTTCATTTTTGTAAAGCACTTTGTGTATATGTCAATTAACAGGTAAAGCAGATTAATAATAATAATAACAATAATAATTAATAATAATGATAATTATTGCAGATTATAGATTATAAATAAATCATTTAGGGACAAGGGGGTGAGATTAAATAAATTATACTTCTTCTCACTCCTTTTCGAACACTAGACGTGGGACTGTTTATGTTGCTAATGCTGTTGTTGTTGTTGTTGTTGTAAATGTCATCTTTTGTTTTGATTTCTCTTACATGACTATGCACTGCAAAAACAATTTTTGTTTTGTAATTATTTATTTTACTTGTTGGAAATAAAATCAATCAATCAAATTGCATTGTGTTGAAAGGTGATAAATAAATAAACGTGCCTTATTAGGTTTATCTTAAAATGTAAGATAATGTTTTGAGGGTTTATAAAATATAAGTAAAATTAGTTTATACTTAACAGCTTTTTGACGGATTGATGTGAAACGTGTTGTCATTTATAAACAATTAGGTGATTTTCTAATATTATATTTTAACATGTTTGTGTTTCTTGAGTGTTCTTATCATTTATTTTAGATTTCTCTGCACAGGGTACCGAGTGCATTTATTATACTGTACTGTACTAGTTACTGCAATGAAGTAAACTAGCCAATTTATAAAAGAAGAGTTTAGTTGATTTACCTACTCAAAAATCATAATCTTTTAATATATTTTAGGATGTTTTTTAAATGTGTTTTTGTAAACATTTAATGCGTATTTATTACATATTTTAATCGTTTTTTATATACTTTTCTAATAGTGTTTTTTAAACATTTTTTAGGGTGTTTTTTTAAATGTATCTATTAAATATTTCATTACTTTAAAGATATTTTTACTTATAGATTTTGTAGGGTGTGTCTTTATTGTTTTTCTTGCATGGGGTACTTTTACGTTTCACACTTAAAGCTCATTTTGCTGATTATACTTTCTTACTTTCTTAAATTAACATTTTCAACGCAGGACTTTTACTTGTTACAGATTACCTTTACAGTGTGCTATAATTACTACTACTATAGTAAAGGATCTGAATACTTCCTCCACCTCTGGCTGCAGCTACTTTTAGCTAGGCAGTGGGTCACTGTAATGACAGAGACACTTTAGCAGCTAGTTCCCATCTTATAGCACATTTAATGCAATTAGAAAAAGAGCATCATGCTAGGTGTGGAGAAGCTTTTGTTGTGACCCTCTGGAGTTTGTTTACACTGTGAAGGCTCAAACTTGACTCAAGGATTATGGCATTTTGAGGACATTCAAACATTCGTAACTTAGTTTACCTCTAATTTCTCGTTGAGATCTTTGTGCATTTTCTCATATTGCTTGGTCAAGTCTTGGTTTCTCTCCAGCAGTGCTTTGCCGAGTTTAGCAGCTAAAACCAAGTCTTTCTCCTTCTGACGGAACAGCGACAGCAGGTCTGCGTTTTGCCCCGGCGAAGGCGTCTCCTGGTCGGGTAACTCCTCCTGGTCGTCCCGGTCTCCTGTCAGCATGGCCAGTTCCTCCTCGAGGGCCATACCGAGGCCTCCGGAGCCCGCCTGCCCCAGAGAGCGAGCCTGGAAGCCGGGCTCGTGCGGTCCCGCCGCGCGGGGTTCCATGCAGTCGCTGTCCAGCTCCAGTGGTGCTGAAACCACGGTCTGCAGGGAGAAAGTGGACATTGGGAGGAGCGGAAAATCGGGATCTCACTCCGGATGAACCCCCCCTGCTCTGCCAGGGTTAGGCTGCCCGGACCGGCTGCTAATCGACATTTCATCCATCATTCGTGCAGTGGAGCTGGATCCAGATTATAAACTCGTCTCCTGTAGTTAAGCCGCGACTCAGAGGCTGTGATTGAATCCCAGCAAACAGCGCCTCCTCTGCGGGGAGCTGCTTGTTGTTACCCGGACTAAAATGTGTTTCTTTATCCCGGAATGAACCTCCTCGGTCGGTCAGGGTCAATCCCTCCTCGGGGTCCCGGGTCCCACATACTGATGATCGGCCTGTTACCACATTTGCTAAACAGATGAGCGCGACCCCGATGCTTCGTCGCTCTCACAACAGCTCTCTAGTCTCGGATGCGCGGTCCCGCCACGGCAGTGACGTCGGCTGCAACCTGTTAGAAGCGGGCAGCTCATTGGCTGAAAATGATAGCGCCATATTTTGGTGCTTCTCACACACATCTGTGACATCCGGTAAAGAGCACGTGAAGAGGTGATGTAGGAAGTGATGCAGCACCTCTCGTGAGGAACAGTGAATCAGGGACAACCTGTTATAAAACCACATGCATTAACATTTACATAAAATAAGACATGTTCAAAGACAGTGGTTTAAGTACATTTACTGAAGTACTGTACTACCATTTTGAGGGACTTTTTTTTGCTACTTCATACTTCTACTCCACGACAGTTCAGAGGTAAATGGTGCACTTTTACTTCACTACATGTATTTAATACCTTTAGTTACTTTACAGATCTGGATGAATGATGTGAAATATAATCAAGTGTTAAATCAGACTTTAGTTCCACCTGGAGTAAATTCACAAGCTACCCTGCAGTATACAAAGTCATTCAAACTAGCTGCACCTTTACCAGCTTTGAGAACACTTTAATGATCAATCATTATAAAACATATCATATATATTATTCTGAAATGGACCAATTTGCACAATGACTACTTTTACTGTCGCTACTTTAACTATATTTTGATGAGAATACTTTTCTACTTTTACTTGAGGAACATTTTGAATGCAGGAATTTTACTGTAACAGAGTATTCCTACACTCTGGTACTTCTACTTTTACTCAAGTACAAGATCTGAGTACTTCTACTTTAACTAAAGTACAGGATCTGAGTACTTCTACTTTTACTCAAGTACAGGATCTGAGTACTTCTCTCTCCTTTGTTTACCACACGGATGGAGAGCCCTTCATTATCTGCTCAGGTAAATGTTACTCCTCTTTATATTTTTATAGTAAATGGTTGTTTCCTGCTTTATTAATGTTTTTATTGTCGAATTGAGAACATTTAAGGTAATTATTTAGACCTGTAGTATGCTAGCTAGATAACCGTTAGTAGCAGTTATTTAACGGTTATCTCAAACGTTAGCTAGCTAATTTAATGCTAACCGTTAAGCTAGCTAGCATGAGTTGTAATTAAGATAAAAAGCGCAGATGTACAAGTTGTTTATTTCCAAAGATGGAGTTGGGAGGATCCAGTATATAGACCTTAGAAGCTAAATTACTATGATCAAATTGCCCATCAGGTAGCTGGATTTCACTCAAGACATGTTAGGAATTACAGGATCAAGACAAATCCATGAGTTGTATGAAACAAATACTGTATCTTAGTTGCTAAAAAGTTGCTAATGGATGTGTGCTACTACCCAAACTACCTTTTAACTACTTTAAGAGAATAATTTAGCGTTGGTGCATAAATTAAAGGCGACAATTACATTGAACAATGTAAAGTATTTTCTTATATTAGTTTATTTTCAATATGGATGTACGATCAAGTATCTAGCCCTAAGAAGCTAAAATATTAAACCTGTAGTATGCTAGCTGGATAACCGTTAGTAGCAGTTATTTAACGGTTATCTCAAACGTTAGCTAGCTAATTTAATGCTAACCGTTAAGCTAGCTAGCATGAGTTGTAATTAAAGGTCCCATGTCATGCTTTTCCGGTTATTACCAGTCCCCTTGTGTGTTATGAAGGTTTTTCTGCATGTAAACGGTCTGCAAAGTCACAAACCCTCAAAGTACACCCTGTAGTGAGTAAAACTCTAACACAGAAAAGACCTGTCTATGCTGCCCCAGAACGCCTCGTTGGAGATTTCTCTTTTTCCATTGTTTTCTTCCTGGGTACAGTGACGTGTCGATACCCAGTAGCCACGCCCAGAGCTATGGCCGCACCCTCTGCCAACCGAACATATACTGTTGTAAGCTCAGGTTCAGTTCAAAACTGTATCCAGTCATGCCAACGAGGGTCTGTTTCCTGTATTGTGAGGGGAAATCTTCAATGTATGCCTTACCGAGAGCAGAACCACGACGAAGTCAGTGGTTGAAATGTATTTTTAACACTGTTCCTTCAGATTTTCGAGCTGGTATTTTACTGTGTGTGCGGCATTTCACGAAACAAAGCTTCACAAGCCTTTCAGCGATTCATGCCGGATATGCACAGCGTAGGGCACTGAAGAACGATGCTGTTCCTACTTTGTTTGGACCAGCGGGAGATTCGGGTATACAACCTGTAAGTATTCATTGTTGTTTGTGTATTTATGATGTTTAAAACAAACAAGGTATTTACCATGACTGTTTAAATGGGTAAACGTTTTTCGGGCTGCTAAGCCATTGACACAGTGCTAACTGGGCTAACTAAGTTGCTAGCGTTTCCATATATCAACTCCAATGTCAGCAGATGGCCTTACATGTATTCCATAGCAGGAGAATGTCTGCATTCACACACAAAATACTCATAGACAGTATACTCCAGGTGATTTACCGTACGGTCAGTCGCGAAACGTAATTACATTATAGCTGGCGTTCCTAGCGTGTATGCTACCGAGCTAAAAAAGAAGGCTACCAAGAGCTAGACATGAGTTTGCTAGGGAAAACATTGTTTTTATGCCAGCTACAATGAATGACCGAACGTAGCAGACTACCCGTATAAGATTGCAATTGTAAACATGTTCTTGCTAGCCTAATATGAACCACTAGCTGTTGTTCATAGTAGGTTGGCATATTACACTGAACAACTAGCAAACGTAGGTTAGCATATTCATCTAGCTGGCAAGCTAACAAACATAAAACAACTACGTTTCTCTAATATTTTGTGATTTCCATTTGATTTCGTTAGGAATGTGTCCCAGAAAGTGTTGCTTTTAGGAAATGTAATGTTTTCATCGGATACAAAATTAATTGTATGAATGTTATGTGTATCTTTGTTAGAGTACATCACAGCAGGACCCCGGTACCCCCCACCGCTCCAGTACAGTTGGATGCCAAACAGACTGTACACAGACTGTTTCTGTGGGAACTCAGAGGGTTGAGACACGGCCTGTGGGAACACAGACAGTGGAATGTAAAGTGTCCACCGTTTCAGTTGCTACACAGTTGTCCTGAGGAACACTGAAGTTGGCACACATGAGAAGCAAAGGTAGACTATAACAATGACATTGACTGTTTTTTTATTTGAGATACATTACCTTAATTGTGCTTTTATTACATGTACAGCACTTTGGCTCGACCAATCGTTTTTAAATGTGCTCTATAAATAAAACTGTATTTGATATTATTGTATATCACAGAAATACTGTTATGTGGACTACATGAAATACAGTGCTGTGTGTAGTTTTTTCTAAATAGTTCATGAATTAATCTGTCAGATGTACACAAGTTGTTGGCCTTTTATAATGTATTAGTGTATTATATAATGTACAAAGTATTTATGCACTTTTCCCTTTTATTAACAGGCATCCAGGCCATGGTGTCTTTCAAAAGTGTTGGCACTGAAACTTCCACCTACCCAGAATTCCACTTGGCCTCTACACCAATAAAGGGCCCAGGATTGGGACCTAGCAAGAGACCTCGACTGGAGTTGGAGGAGGAACAAGTAGAGACTTTGACTGAATTTGAAGAGACTCTGGATTCGAGTTACCACCCTGATGATTCTGTACTTGCAGAAGAATCTGACGTATCGTAAGTTTGTTATATTTGGTACACATTACTATTACTGTTTTTCAGAGTTGAAATCTAACATGTATAGTTCATTTTGTTTTGTTACATTAAACTTCAGACATGTTAAATTAGACTTCAGACAAATGTCCGGTGTGTAAGAGAGACTGTGATGTCCAAAGACGAAAAATGGGGACTTTTGTGGCGTTCACACAGCGTTGTCCAAACTGCAGTTACTTCAGACAATGGGAGAGCCAGCCCATCGTCGGAAGTACCCCGGTTGGCAACTTACAATTATCCGCTGCTACATGCCTCCTGAAGGTCTCATACTGGAAGATCTCTAGCTGCATGGCTCTGCATATCTATGAATAAATAGAAAAACAGGAAAAGTTTTTGAAAAAGTCCACTGCTGTCAATTTGCATATGCTATGGATGTTAGATGGTAAAATACCTTTTGTAGTTGGAAGAAGGACGCACCAGTGAAGAAATAAAAGGGCATATAATAGTCTATTGACTTGACAAATATGTATGGTGTATATCTTGGCATATAATGTTGTGTGCTACTGTTGGTGTTTTCAGCTAGCTGGCTACATAATGTTGTAACTGTCAGCTAGGCTACCCAGAGTTCCCGTTAGAATATTTTTTTGCCGGTCAACATGTCCGTTAAAGTTGAAATCTTCCGGACAAAATTAGATAAGTGCCGGTTAAAGGTCTTCTTTGTTATTTATTGAGCTTTAAAACAAATTGATATGATTCGACATTAAACAAACTAATTATAGTAGATTAACTACATTATTCAAAAGTGTACAGTAATTTACAAAAACGCGGGAATAATAAACGGAGCGCTCTCTCCTTCTCCTGACAGCCCGTCAGTATCATGCAGCTCGCGGATCCAGTAATGAGTGACCCGACAGTAAAACTAAACATATCTATAACTAGTTTAGGTAGTTTGAGAGGTAATTAAAATAGCTACGTGTGATTTTCTAACCTGAAGTGTGTTTTGCTCTGCTC